CCTGGGTGCTGGCCTGTGCGGGGACACGTGGGGGCCTGACGCAGCGTGCCTTTCCATACATGTGGGCTTCAGGACCGGCCGTTCAGGGAGCACCGCCCTCACATACAGGAGCCTCCACACACTTGCAGCCCTGCGACTCGGGTCTCGGAGCTCAGGAGCGTTGTCAACGGCACACCACTGACAAACGCACCTTTGGATTTCCGGGAGACTCTTGCGGAGCATGTGTCGGGGCTGCGGCACTCACAGCTGGTGGTGAGCTGTGCGCAGGCAGGGTTGGGACTTGAACTTGGTATTTGATGCTGGCACTCTACCACCTGAGCCATGCCTCTGACCCCTACCTTTGTCATCTTGATGTGGGGATTTGCTATGGTTTGGGGGTATGGTGAAGTACGCCCTCCCAAAATGTCATGAGTTGAAGCCTGATCCACATTTGAAGATTTAGTTGAGACTCAGGTAGAAAATTAATGTAAGTGGGGTACACAGAGGCAGGGGCTTTGAGAAGAGACTGGGGTTAGACAAGGTGGTGAGGGCGAGGCCCATGACTGAATCCTCTCTCCGCCATCTCGGCAATGATGTCCTGTCCAGCCTGTACTCATCCAGCAAGAAGGCCTCCACCAGATGTGGCCCCTCGCCAGCAAACATCTAGAACCATCACCCAACAGAAACCCCTTTTCTTTGTAACTCACCTGTGGCACTGGGACTGGGGAGGGCCAGGCCAGCGGTGCAGGAAAACCACTGGAGTCAGCGGTCCCAGCCCTGGGTAGAACACCGGGCGGAGTGGCACGGGTGGCAATGGTGGCGCGGCTCAGCACACCAGCCTATACCGTTGAGGAGTGAGTGGGTCTGCCTGAGTTGAGGTGCAGGCAGTGTGCCCAGGTGGTAAGCCAACCTGGAAAGAGGAGGTGGCCTCCATGCAGGAGTTCAGGGGCTGTGGACAAACGTGGCTCTATCAGCAGCTAGCCACAGAGTTCACTGGAACCAACATCATTTGAGGAGATAGCTCCAGAAAATGAGAGCAGAGTAGGCGAATGTGTTTTTCTCAGATGACTTTCTGCTATGAAGACCACAGTGCCAGGAAGACCCAACACAGACTCAGAGATCTGCCCTATTCGCTGCCCAGCTCTGTGATGCCGACAACAAATCTACATTCTGAAAGCTTGTCTTCTTATGGGACTGTAGCCATAACTGGAGAAAATCTAAAAGCTTATAAAAATGTAATGGTAAGACTTGGAAAAAATTATATTAAGTGAAGTAAGCCAGCCCCAAAGAAAAGCAGGTGGCACGATCTCCCTCATTTGTAAGAACTAGGTTATGTATATGATGTCTATCTATCTATCTATCTATATTTTTGGTCCGGTCGTGGGCCTGAACTCTGGGCTTGGGCGCTGTACCTCAGCTCTTCAGCTCAAGGCTGGACCTCCACCACTTGAGCCATAGCACCACTTCCAATGTGTATGATATTCTTAACAGGGCTCTCTTAACAGTGCTCAGTGCGAAAGTCTATATAAAATGAAGCAGATTAATGTGAACCCCAATTTATGGAGACAAGAGGCTCTCATTAGACCCAGTCCATAGTTCATTCTTTTTTCTCTATTGCTTGTATTTCTTTCTTCAGTCCTTAGTTCTTTGCACCTCGTGTTTTGTATAATAGGCAATGCCGTATGTGAGAGGGAGAGGGAGGCACAGAGCAGCAGAACAACAGATGAACCACAGCAACATTGATGGTCACTTGACACGATGTGGGATATGAACATTACGACTTGCGGGGCAGGGGTAGGTGGGAGATAGAGAGGGATGGGGTAGCAATGATTAAAAACAAATGCACTTATTGCCTTACTTCTGTGACTGTAACCCCTACTCATCACCTTCTCAATTAAAAAAAATGTGAGGGTAAAAGCATTTTTCTTCAACTGGAAACATTTCTCCAACTATCTGCAAAGGTGAAAATCAGTATCTACTCAAGATGCCCACCCAGAGGTGAAAATCAGTATCTACTCAAGATGCCCACCCAGAGGTGAAAATCAGTATCTACTCAAGATGTCCACCCAGAGGCAGTGGCTGGCTTATGGGGGCAGATCACTAGGGTTCTCAAGTCCGGAATTTGACTCAATCACTCTCATTCACTGTAACCTCTGCCAGGTCACGAGGGAGAACAGCAGTGTGGCATTTCACATGGCACGTCTGGTGTGTGCCTTGGTCTCCTGAGGTAGCAGGTGCATCTGCTGATTGTACCAGGCAGCAGTGACTCAGACGCCAGTCAACATGCCTTCCTAAATGACTCACGGTGCAGCCTGAGGTGTCTACGATGACTCGCACACCCAATGAATTCCACAGGGGGTGATACGGATTGGGATACGTTGCAGACATGACCATAAATATCACAATGGAATCACAATCAACGCCCCCCCCCCCGGCCCCATAACTAATGTATGGGAATAAGAAAGTTAAAAAAAATTCTTTTTCGACAGGCTTTTAGAAAGTAAACCCCTCTAAAATCAGAACTATTGCTTTAACATTTCACAAACAAACCTGACACACAATGGCGAAAGTAGCAGCGCCTGCACGAGACCATGCCCCTCGGCCTTTATCCAAAAGCTAAACCTGTCTTCATCAGACACACCAGTCTGCTGTCTGTGTCCTTCTTTGCCTCTCAGAGACAGGCTGGCTGCTCCCAGTGTGGGTGATAATGAGCAGAAGTATTATAAACATTCACACGCAGGTTTCCATGTGAACGAGCGCTCTTAGTCCTCTAGGCAAAGGTGAGGGAGTGGCTGGGTCACTTGGCTTGGTGGACTTCAACTGAAAAGCAACTGCCAGCCTCTTGGAGCCAGCCTTACAGGTGGCATTCCGCTCCGGTGCGAGCTCCCGTGTTCCCAGTCTACCCAGCTTGTGGCTCTGTCAGTCTTTCAGATTCAGCCATTCCACAGGTGTGCAGGGCTATTGTTTGTATTTGTACAAGGGCTAATGATTCTGAACATCCTTCTGTGTGCTAATTTGCCACCAATCCACCATCTTCCTTCAGCAACATCTCTTCATGTCTGCTGACAATTTTTAAACTGTGTTTGGGAGTCCCACTGATCAGTTTTTCCTATATAGTTATATTTTCCTGTATAGTTTCCCAGCTCTGGCTGTCAAGTTGCTGGGAAAGAACAGGAGAGGAATGGGACTTCCTTGTCCTAAGGCCAAGAGTACATCAAGAGAGGACACAGATAGGTCATCTCAGCCCTGCTAGCCTGGTACAGATGTCACTCAAGAAGCTGAGACAAACAAAGAGCCAGGTTCCTTCTTGTTAATATAAGAGGGTTTCATTGAACAACTTAAAAAAAATCATTCAGGGGCGGGGCTCAATGTTAAAGCCAGTGCTTAACATGTGCAAGGCTCCAAATTCCATTCCCAGCAATTCACACATATCACTGTGTTCATCACTGGGTGATGTTTATTTTAGATACTTAGAGCATATACCATCGTTATTTTTCTCCCCACACTCTGCTTATGTGTTAGTACTGGGGCCTGAATTCAATACCTAGGCACTGTCCCTTAACTTTCTCACTCCAGGCTGGTGATCTACCATTGAATCACACCTCCACTTTTGGCCTGTGTGTGTGTGGTTTTCTGGAGTAAGACTATCATGGACTCTTCTGCCCGGGCTCCACTGTGTGTGTGTGTTTTTCTGGAGTAAGACTATCATGGACTCTTCTGCCCGGGCTGGCTTCAAACTGTTATCTTCAGATAGCCGCTTCCTGAGTAGCTAGGATTACGGAATAAACTGCACCTGGATGCCCAGTCCCCAGTGATGGACAGGACCCTGTTCCTGGCACTTGCTAAGTGTTCGCTCCGCTGCTGAGGCCCATATCCAGCCCATACACGGGTCCTTTTGTGTTTTTCTTAGAATGATGGATTTGTACACACACATTTGGAAAATCTGTTCTACTGAACAATGGCGTGGCAGGCTGTTCCCGACCTCTGAGGACAAGCAGTCCACCAAGTGTCCACCGAAGGAGGGGACACAGCTGACTGCCCAATGGAACAGAATGCGTTCAGGTGTCCTCACACACACAGGGAGGGGCTTTACCAGGACGGCCTTGGAAGAAACTTTGCGTTTCTTACCTAATAACTTCAGGCCTTGGTTATCTTAACAAGTAACATCTGTGTATTAGAACTTGGCGAACAGTAAGTGACCTGGCAGGCCAATCCTGGGAGACTGGGGGTTCAGAGAACAGTTTCCTATAACTCCTCAATTTTTCTGTATTGCTGAGATGAGTCAGGATGACCTGAGAGTAGCCAAAACATTGAAATGTATATAACCTATATAACCAGTAAGATCGATACCTATTTTTTTTTTTAAACGCACATACAAACAAGCCCTCCAAATACAGGTCAAGTTTAGAGTTACAATATGACATTTTTGGCCCAAAGAGACGAGCACATTGCTCAAGAAGCCTGGAAGCCCTGGGGTGGGAAAGCGACACAGGTGTTTGGTCCAGTTTTTGGAATTGGTCTGCTCTAGACAGAAAAATGGCTAGGGGCAGAAGGGGGGTAAGGGTAGAAACAGAGGTGAGGGTAGAGCTGTAGGGACAGGTAGAGGGAGAGTGAGGTGAAGAAAGTGTCAGGGTTACAGAACACTGAACGTCAAGTTCAGGTTTAAGGAAATGAGGTCAGAGCGCAACCACAATCCGGCTGCTGCAGCCCAGAAGGCAGAGATGGTCTGTGCAGAGCTCTGCTCTACTCTGCTTAGAGTCTGCAGTATTTTAAACATTCTTAAGAATCAAGCTTTTTCATCATTTGCCTTTTAATCTGGTCCCACACTGGCCACCACCTACACTAAGTACCAGTGCTACCACCACAAACAGCTTTAATCAGAGAACAGAAGGACATAGTCACATGAAAGGGAAACGGCCTCACATTGAGAGAAAGCACTTCTGAGAACCAAGAGCTAGAGAGAGAAAGGAAGAGAACCCCTCAGATCCAGACAGCCACCAGGGCTTCAAAATCTTACTTACTTTTCTATCAAATCCAGGGTGACTCCAGGCACCAGGCTGACACACTTCTGCATGCAAAACCTGTAGAGAAAGGAAAGAACGTGAGTAGCGTGAATGGAATATGTAATGAAAAAGCAAAGGGCCATCGGCAAAGGTAGCATTTAAAGGTGAGGTTAGGAACAGCCACGGTAAACAAATAGACTCTAATTACAGCTGGATTTAAGAAGAAAATCTAATTGCCAGCTGGTGAAAGGTGCGAGACTCCAGCACCGCATCCATGAGCTGCCTGCAAAGGAAAGGAGTCTGTATGCAGACTCAGTGAAGCTCATCCCTGGAGACAAGCTCTGAGATGTGACATAAAACAAGGCTTCCAAACTCAATCATGGGAGGCAGCCTGGACTTTTCTTTTTCCTACTTCAGAAGGTGAGCTGGGGGTGTTGGAGACGCAGGTGAAAAACCTGGAGGCACACACAAGGAGCCGGGAGAAGATGAAGGACCACGGACCCAATGACACTGTGTTAGCCATCACAAAGTCAGGGGGGGTCAGAGCTCAGAGACTTAACATCTGCAGGCAGATCCACTCTCTAGGGCAAGAGCAGAATGGACAAGATCGGCCTCACCTGTGCACCCTGACAGAGGGCAGGAAACCATCTTTCCTTTCTCCTGTCAGGGCTATTGACACAGCAGGGCAGAATCAATGGCAATGTTGAGAAAAAAGGCAAGTGGATGTTTCTAGCAGGAGAAATGTAAATGCTTGATTTCTCCATGCTTAAAATTAAGATCAAGTTGTCCCCTTCAAGCACAGCAGCAGGCAAACAGCAAATACAGATGCTCCCTGATGTAAGAGGGTTTGAGTAGCAAATTGTCACCTTATTTGCAATAAGCATGCAGTACAAACTGTACTTAGAATTTTGAATTCGGATCGTAACAGGTACTTAAAACTGCTTTGCTGCAAAGCACTGACTTCTTAGTTGGGCCCAGGAATTAACCAAAAGCAGGAAAAGAGCCTGGCATCTGCTCCATTTTGTGTGTCTCTGCTCTAAGCCATTCTCTCTGCAGTCACTTTGCAATCACCTTGGAATCCAGCAAGGACAGGACTGATCAATAACAGGTTTACAGGGAAGGATGGAAAAAAACTGCCCCCAAGAAAAGACACAGCAGAGACCTGCAGGACAGACCACCTGCGGGGCCAGGACACGTGCTTGTCGCTCACGGATGACAGTGATAATAAACTCTCCTCCAGAACCTGCCCCAAAGAAGGGCTGAGCCAACAATCTGCCCAAACATACCAGGACTGCTCAGGAATAGCCCCTCTGTCTTCCGTTGTCTACCTAAGCCTAGAACGCATGCCTGGCTGCCCGGGCCCAGTCCCCTTTTCTGAGCTTCACTGAGCTCTCTTCTTTTCCAGGCAGACAGGTGAGGGCTCCTCCCGATGAGTGAAACCAGGAGTCAGGCCTGGCATTGAAAGTCCAGCTCCGCCATCTTTCCCTGGCTTGGCGATAGGCAGCTAATGCCTTCCTTCCTTCCTGTGGAGCTGAGCAGCATGGGCACCCTCTGAGGTGGGAGCAGCTGGCCACAGCAGCTGGCACCCCCGTTCTAGAAGGTGCACGGGGGCGTGGCAAAGCAAGCCTGTCAGCCTGGGCGGGAGGCTTGTATGCATCTCCCACTTAGGATGCCTTACTTAAAGATGGGGTGATGGAGCATTTACAAAACTTATCGCTGCTGGGCCCTGAGCTCTGGTCAGGGGACTAGTACAAGCACCTGGGGACAGCCAGGGGACAAACGGCAGGGACTGCTTTGTGGAGCACCAGGGCTGGGAGGGTATAGACAGCAGTGGGTTAGGAGCAGGAGAGACACAAAGGAGGGAAAGTTCCAGACCAGAAAGACAACACTTGGTCACACACACAGTATGTGGTCCCCCCGGGCAGCCTCTGGGGAGACGCAGGGGAGAGCCGGCTGCCCAGAACCCGGCACAACCACCATGCCTTCATGCCTCCAGAAGCAAGGCCCAGCGTGGCCAGCAGAGAGAAAAAATGGGTTTTGGTGTTGGTGGCAGCACCTAGTGCTTCACTGTACCAAGGCCCACGCCCGTCCTGCGGGCCTGGCACACGGCGGGCTCGTTGCTCCAGCCCCGGCAGGGCCAGCGCGGGGATGGGAGCGCGGGGACGGGGGCGCGGGGACGGGGGCGTGGGGACGGGAGCCGGGCCAGGGCACGGTGGTCGCGATCTCTAGGTGGAGGAACATACTCTGCCAGCAGTGGCTCTCCAGGTCTGAGCCTTCCACAAGCCCTGCAACTTGTTTGTTTCTTCATCCATAATGTACTTATCGACTGGGATTTCTGGAGTTCAGTAATGACAGAATTATTTGTATCAGACTAATCCTTTTGCCAATAGCAATAATAAACTGAAAGGAATAAAAAAAACAAAACCTGCCATTTGAAAATAACAAAGACCAAACAGACGGAGGCAAGACTGGCAGGACTGACCCTAGTAAAGGAGAAAGAATCTCTGGACGAGTCACGGCGGATGCACCCACAACTCACAGGGCACAGGGGGCTGGGGACCACGTACTACACAGAGCCAGCGCGCAGTCTTTCTGCATGGAGTCAGAGATCAAGATAAATGGCAGATGGCCTCAGAAAGGAGGAAGCACTAAGATCTGCATGCAAACCTTTCTTAAGCCCCCAGATGAGCTGCAAATCAGATACAGGGCATAACTCCAAGACTGCCCCCTTTCATGGAGGACACCCCAAAGAATGAAAATGTCCAGGAGACTACAGCTTCTGACAGTGAGAAGGTGGGAGGGAGGTTAAGTCCTGTCAAAGGAGAGCCTGGGGAAGCCCTGGGCTTTCACGGATGCTCACAAGCCAGATTCTAGGATACAGAGCCACACCATGGACCAGAGACCAGCCGGTCTACGACCGAGCCTCTGCACACCCCTCTGCCTTTGAGGAGCCCAGAGGAAGTCCAGGAATAAGGTGGATAGTGGGTTTAGTGATACTTGTTACACTACAAAGTAAGTTTTAGCCAAGTACTTAAAATCAAGCCAACTATGGCTAGTGTGGCGTGAAGCAAGAGCAAGGTGAGCCCAGCTCTGTGGTCCGTCCCCTGGAGAGGCTGGGCACTCTGGGAGGCTCGCCGAGTCCCGCGCTGCTATGCTTGTCCCTTTCTGCACTCTGAGCCATTAGCATGCGTCATTGTCCGTGTCTGCACACGGACCCTGGCACAGCCATCAGGCTCCTGGCAGCCAAGCGCTCACCTGTGCTGCATACCACGGTAGAGCAGGTGAGCTGGTGCACCTGCAGAATAATGCGAGGCCTTCCGACCAACGTCCACATGGAGAGCCGAGCCCTGCCAAGTCGGAAGGGACACTGCGGCCCCTCCCCTGCAGACATGGGCGCCGTGACATTTTCGGTATTGATTTGAGTGTGTGTATCATTTGGGAGTCAGCCCTTTGGCTCAACACTCACGTTCTCGTTAATAGTCACTGGATTTTATTGGGTTCTTTCTGCAACGCTGATATTCAGATCAGACATAAATAATGTAAATTTGCTTTCCTTCAGGATACACACACACACACACACACACACACCTTTCATTTCGTTTTTTCCATCTAATCATTATATCGACCAGCGTTTCCGGAACACATCCTGCAATAATTGAGCTGGTCCTAATTACAACGGAGGAGAGCCCGTGCTGCGGGTACTGCGGGTACTGGGTGACTGCCAGGCAAGGAGGAAACTCCTCCGAAGCCAAGGAAGAGCTCTGCCGACTTCTTCACCAGTTTTCATAGAACTTGACCTACAGCGATGACTTGGCTGGCAGTGACCCCCTCTGGAGGCTTAGGTAGAGAGAGGACTCTGGGTTTGAGGACAGTTTCGGATACATAGTAAGATTGTCGCAAAGAGCATTAGAGAAGCAATGAGAAAACAAAGATAAGTTATTACTGGATGGCCTGGTAGGAACGATGGCCCTGCCCTGCACGGCCTCCCCGGTCAACATTTACGAGTCATTTAACACGTTGTAGTTGACTAATCCTTGATGCGGACCCATCTGTCTCGAGTGTGATGCATGTGTATGCGCTGAATCTGTCAGGTCTGGAATGTTCCAGTTATAGTAACTCTAAAAATACAGGGAGCTTATACTTGTTGAAATATGGCACACTCTTAAATATTGTTTCGTTGCCACTTGTTCTTTCAAAATAATTGTCGGTAAGATCCCTCATTTGCTTTATTGCTTGTACATCTCATTATTTTTCATTACTTTCCATTTCCCAGAATACCTATTCTACCAACGAGTGATTTTAAAGTCACTTAAATTTTGCAACTAAATTATCTGATTTCCTAAAGTTTTCCTAGTCTTCATTAGTTCTCTGCTATTCTTTGGCCTTGTCAAGGCTTACTTTTCTGCTTCCGCACAGACTCCCGTTTTCTCACTTCAGAGAGGAAAGACAAAGCAAAGGCTAAACCTCGCTTCTGCTTCCGATCTAACCAGCGCCTTCTCCCAGGCTCTGTGCTGTGTTACGAAAGAACCCTCGCCCCTCGATGCGTGCTGTCCTCCGGCTCCCCCGGGATGAAGGACTGGCGGGCGCAGCACAGCGTGTCTCCGGCTCATGCGGAGCCAGCCCACCAGCCCAGCTCCACTGCTCTGGAGAGCACCAAAGACAGTGAGGGGGGCCGTGCCTCCCTCGGCTCTATGGCCAGTGGGAAGGATGTGAAGTCACTGTCCACTTGCTCCCTTCCTGTCCCACCTTGGGCCTTTCTGTGCTTTGGCCCATTGGGTCGCAGATGTGGCAGAAACGCTTCAGAATTTGGTAGCGCCTTATGGACACTACTGCCCACTTCTAGCCACCACTAAATGTCTTTCGCTCAATTTGGCCAGTTTTGTGGGGCCATCTGACATCCCAGTATCCTCCAGTGGTTCAGTTCTGGCCCTGCTGGGAGTGCGCAAGGCCCCGGGGCACGGGCTCAGGAGCCGGTCGCCGTCCCGTGCACCCATGCTTCCCGGCCGCTGCCGGAGGGGCGGCCGGAGGTCAGTGCAGGTCCGGTACCAACCCGGAGGTCTCAACCCCTCCTGGAGGGC